AAAATCAGAATGCAATAGAAGTTCAGAGTATAAAGTCTACCATTTGGAGGTTTTAGTTGGGAATAAGGAATCCACTAGTAGTTGGATCCCAGGCATGTGTGTTAAACTCTGGCTTAAAAATTATCTACATTTTGCTCTTGTCCCAACATTTTGCAGGAGACTAAGATCAAGGGAAATGGATTAATTATCTGAGAGAGAAAATTTAAAAGATTACATATAGATAAGAATACCCTAATTCTTTTTTAAATGACAGTTATAAAGTCAGTTATTTCCTTGCTTTTTTACCACTCTATTGCTTTTTCCACACTGAAGCTACTTTTGAATGACACATTTTGTCTTTTTACTTGAGCAATTTAATCATGCTAAAGATTTTGTTTGGTCATTACTGTTATTGCCAATGGAATTGTTTGCTTAATTTTTACTTTGAATCTTTTGCTATAAATATATAGCCATAAAACTGAAATTTGTGTGCTGGTTTTGTGAGTGGCAATTTTGTTGGTTCATTTTGTTATTGCTAACAGGAATTTGCAGAGAGGCTTGATGCTTTCTGCGTATCAAGCTACGTTATCAACAAACATAAATATATCTCTTGCTTTCTAGTTCAAATGCCCTTCATTTCTTTTTCTTGAGTATTCACTCTGTCTAGAACTTTGAGAATTATGTTTAAGAGAAATGGTGAAAGTTGGAGTCTTTGAGCTGTTTCTATGTCACAGAAAGTCTTCAGTCTTTCATCACAGCATAGCTGCAAATTTTTTACATATGAACTTTTTCACATTAAGGAACTTGCTGTGTACTCTCATGTTATTATGGAAAAAATATTGAATTTTGTCAAATGCTGCATCAAATGGGTTTTGTTCCCTTCCAATAGCAATGTGGTATACTAGATTGTTCGACTTTTCCATATTGAATCATTCCAGGAATAAACACCAGTATCTCATCTCACAGTCCAGGTATGCAATGGTGTAAGGAGTGGAGGAAGCTGCCAGGGTTACCAGTCAGATGAGAATTCCTTTGCTCTATTCAGATGGAATCATAAACCTGTGTAAAGCCTAGCTCTGTCATCTCTGTCTTGATGTCAGAAAATAACAGTGTATAACGCTGAATACCAATTTTTTTTATCCCTATCAACCTTATGTTTTTTTCTTTGCCTCATCTTGCAGTTGTTGAATTGTTATTTCCTGATTTCTTGTTATTTTTAAAAGATCTTTCCTTTCCTGTTCACTGGCTGCAATCTTGTCTTAGAGGTCTGAAATTCTAACTTCACATTCATTGAGGCGGTTTTTACAACTTTCAATGGAACTTTTGATTTCCTGTATATTTCTTTGCATCTGCTTTATGTATTCTGTTTGTTTCTTATATTGTTCATCCAGGGATTCTATCTTTTTGTTTAGGTCCTCCAATTTTTTAACTGTTGTCTTCTTTAGATATGTTCAGCATCTCCTTCATTTATGATTTCTTCTTTTATCTTGGAGATTATTTCTAGTTTGAATTCCTTTAAAGCTTCCTGGAGTTGCCGCTTTATTTCGGTTACTATTATTTCAGGTATTTCAGGCATATGGCTAGTATTTCTTCTATGTACATGGCTCCTAGGCTTTCTTGGGATGGGCTGGATGTTTGAGATTGCATGTTAGTCTTTTGTTTTGTCATTTTCCTATATTTCCGTGTTTCAAGTGTTGTTTTAATGCTTCCCCTGGGCATGTTGGAAATTGTCTCTTGGGCTCCTGGGACTCCTCTGGTAACATAGTGCCTTCCTTGGGCAGCGAGGCCCCCAGATTAAAAGAGGGTTTCCAGGCTCCTCTCATGTAGAACTAAAGCCTCTTCAAGCTACACAGCTCCCCCCTCTGGCAGCAAAGCTCCCCTGGTGCAAAGAAGGCCATCTGGTGTGGTCCAGGCAGGCCCAAATCCCGCTAAGCCAAATCTAGTGTGGCAGCAAGCCCAACAGGTGCCCAACCCCCTAGAGCAAGGATCTCATACTCTCCCGGGGATTGGAAGGTCCCCCTGTGGCCTAGGCCTCAAACCTCCTCAGCAGGGCTGTTCCCTCCTCCAGGCGATGGCAGTAGTGTTGATGCTCTCCAGGCTGAAAGAAGGTCTCAGGCAAGGCAGGAGCAGTTTCCCGTGGCTAGGCCCAGCTCCCTCCTCCAGGTGTAGTAGCTGAAGTGTGCCCTCCAGATGAGAGAAGGTGGTCAGCAAGGTTGGAACAGGTTCCCACGGCTTGGCCCAGCTCCCTCCTCCAGGCGGGGCACCTGCAGTGTGCCCTCTGGGTGAGGGAAGGCCCTGAATGCCAACTTTTGACACAGCTGGCTGCTGGTCATTGTCAGCATAAGCCACTTCTGGTCAACACCAGCTTGTGCCAGATGCTGTAGGTTGACTCCGCTATGTGCTGGTCTCTGCTACTGGCTGGCTGTCACTGGCCGCCACCAGCTTATGCTGGATCCCATAGGTCAGCGCTGCTGGTTGCTGGTTTGTGCTGCTGATTTTTGTTGGTTGCTGGTCCCTGATCTCATTAATCTAATAGCAGCTTGTATTTAGTTCCCAGTCTTCATCTTGAAACGCTACCTACCCTACTCAGGATAAAAATGCTGAGTAGATTAACTGGACCTTTGGAGTCCACACTATCTGAGATGCTTATAGGACCACTGGAAAAATTTTCATTTTAACCAGATCTGTGCTGCATCACAAGTCAGTACAGAGGAGGGCACTGTAGTGGTTGATTTTCTCAACTTGAGTTGTTTAGCAGCTTAACTAAATTGGTTTAGCAATTCTATACACTAGGGTACAGAAGACCTACCATAAGATGGCTCATCAAGTAGATAGTATAAAAGAGAAGTGAGAAAGACACATTCTAGAGGAGCTCCAGTTTTTGCCTTCTACTTAGACACTGTCTCTTGGCTTCCACCGCAGACTCTTCAGCTTCTGCCTTGGATCCTGCAACCTGTCGGCATAGACTCTGGCCTTTTGTTGTCAATTAGCGCAGGACACTACAGTGAACTCTAGACCTTGGATTGAATCTTTTGGCATTCAATGTGCACACATTCTGTGCATGTTTCCTCATCTGACATTATGACTGACCATGGTAAACCAATCGTAGAATTTCTTATAGATTTGTGTATTTTGTGTTATATGTGTTCCTCTAGTAAAGTTCTGACTCTAACAGGTACCCTCTTATACTAACTGGAAAGGAATGTAGGAAGTACTACTCACATTATGCAATAGCTGTAAGCCTGTGATTGTTCCAAGTGAAGGACTGCAATTGGTTCAAATTTGAGCCTACTAATGATCCAAACACAGGTTTGTAATGGACCCATCAGGTGAAGCTGTCATGGCAGTGATTAGGGATGGGCAGAGCAATGCAAGCTATTTGACTGAAAGTTATTGCATCTCTACAGAAAAATGGTAGGGCTCAAGTCTGGGAATCTTCAGGAAGACTAGATGTGTACATCACAGTTAATTGGGGCTCAAGGGAAGTTGGGAATATTAACAATGAACTCTTATCAATTGTGTACTAATCTGGACCACTCTAACCTGGCCCCCACTTCTTCAAACAGACAGCAACAGCACATGAAGTAGCAGGAATTGGACTGGGCCATTATGTCTGACAGTCAAACTGTACTCCTGTCAGAGAGGTGTAGAAGAGAGTAATCACTAAATAGCCAGGGATGACATCAAAGAGTGTGTGCCCATACACTGGGGAGAGAAGTGAGGGAAAAGAGCTTCAAGGCCACTGGACATATCATATCAACTCCAGCCAATAGGAGGGCCAAATGGAAGATCAGGAGCCTCTTCTCTGTCTCATCAGGAAGATGAACAGATGGAGATCATGTATTATCAATAGACTTATTAAAGTATCAACAGGAAAGGATAGGGTTAGTTGAGAATTACTAGCAGAAAAGGATAAACTCCACTGGTGGCCACATGGGCAGGAAAGCCACCATACCATAGTGGGACTGTTCAATGGCCACAGGCCAGACAGGAAATCGAAAAACTGTCTAGTGGCAATGGATCAAACAGAGAAATCACTGGAGTAAACTCAGTGTCCAGTGGTAGCCAACTAGACTACACTACTCACTACTCCATAGTGCTCTGTTCCATATCCAGCTATTGAGGGAAGGAGGTTTTATAGAATAAACTACATTGAAATGATATCATTAGCTTTCCTTACCTCATAGTATTCCCCACATTCCTAGGAAGGGATAATCTATCATATGGGCAGGAAGTCATTTTCTATAGATAATACTACTTTGCCCAATCCCCAGTGTCCCTCTTGTGATTGCATCCAGATATTCTGGTCACTGTTTAAAATGTACAATTGAGTTGGCAGGCATGTTAGAAACACAGAAGAGGTCCTTTAGGGACATAATACCAAATATTGTAGGTTTTCTTAGGATGATGTAACCACATAGTCATGGTCTATAATCCTTTCAAAATACTATTGAATTCTATTTTGGTAATATATGATTGTTGATTACATGGTTTGGTTTGGGATTGGAAGGTAATGAAAGCCCACGGAGCTTCATGGTGTGCAATAATCAACTGTGTCATTCCAACAGGCCCTAAATTCCCATTATTGTTGGCATAGTTAATGTTTAGAGGATCTTAAGAGTCCTGGAGGAGATTAAACACCTCTGAAACCCTGGCATTATGCAAGAGACTTTAAATGGGCAACCATCTCTTTCTGCAAAAGGAACATCTTAGAAGATATAAATTTGACTCCATCCTGTCTTAATGAGGCCCCGGTAGTCAGTACCTGAGCTTGTGGAGTAAATCAGGGTGAATCTCTAGTTTAAGAATTTGAAACACATACTTTTTAGCTTGTGGCTCTCACATGGGGAATCAACAACATTTCAAGAATGCAGGAAAGTTCAAGTGGAACCAGAGTAGCTGCAAAATTTTACCCTGAAGAACTTCCTGTCTTACAGTGGTATGATTTCAATTTTGCAATCTTGAAGCAGGTTGGTATCTCGTTACAACAGAGCCACTTCTTCTTTCAGAGAGTGGGCAGGATGACTCTAACTTCCAAGAGCGTAGAATGGCATCTTCCTGACATAGACACTTGCACAGAGAACCCTTCTTGGGCCTCCATGATGCCTGTCTCTGCTTCCCAGGTCCAGCCTTCTTGTCTTGTCCTGCTACTGACCTTTCTGCTCAGACTCACAGGTGAGTATGGCCCTGGGGTAGAATCCTCTCTCCTTGATCCTGGACCACCCTTACCACTGAACCTCAGAGGTTCCAAATTAACTTAGGCATGGCCACAGAAGATAAGGACAATATATTGTCTGAGGAAGCAGAAACAGGGACCTGACTGTGATCTCTGCAGATTCTTCAGGTTCAGCAGGTGAGCAGAGGCATCAATTCAAAGGATGCATCAAGCAATTCTTACTCACATTTTACAATATTTAGGTGATAAAATCGTATCATTATTTAAATCTCTAACTTTTTGGTGCTTGAAGAGGTGAAGCAAATGTTCCTAAGGTAACTAGTTGAGCCTTAGCATGGCTAATAGACAAGCCTGGTCATAATCCCAGTTATTTCTGCTCACCACTCAAAACTGAGAAGTCTGACATGGAGTCCATTTGGGGTAGGCAGGGGAAAAGTGTTCAAGGAGATTCTCACCCATCATCTGTCCTCAGTAGGATTTCTGTGTCCACTCTGTTCACTCCTTATCTATGATCTATGTCTTGTGCATCCTTACATACACTTTCCCCTTAATTAGTTCCACATTTTCTTCCTAAGGGAATCTGTTTTCTTCTTCTGGGGCTGCCATAGGACAGTACCACAGGCTTGGTGGCTAAAACAATAGACATTCATTTCCTCCCACATCTGGAAGCTAGAAGTCTAAGTAAGATCAAGGTGTTGGCAGGATTGGTTTTATCTCACAGTTTATCACTTTATCTTGAAGTTGACTGAATGGTGAGTTTGTACTCAATCTAGAGCAGTGCATAATGTTAAAAGAGAGAAGGCAACTGGTAAGAAGGTTTAATGGGTGGGGGCATGGAGAGACTTGCCAAAAAGGAGGATGTGGTGGCTCTCTGAAGACAAAGGGCTGGTTCTGCCTGATAGACTCTGATGGGGGAAGGGCTTTGGCTACTGATGTGAGCTGATTTATTTCATCAGGGTATGGGGACTGGGTAAACCTTGCATGCCTGAGCTTTACCACAGACTTTTGGGAGGAAGAAGCCTTAGTGGCTTCTGGGAAGGAGGTATGCCTTTTCAAGGCACAGTTCTGAACCCTTGTCATGATGATTGTGCTCTCTCTTAGAAAGGAGGATCTAACAGAAGTCAGCATCTTCTCCATGTCACCTTTCTCTGTTTTTTTGGTATCATTTCCTCCTCTTGTAACAGCACAAGTCATGTCAAATTGGGGTCTATTCCATGTCTTTATTTAACCACTTTTTAAACTATTCATATTCTGTACTACTGGGATTTCACCTTCCACACAGAGGGAAAACAGTTCATCCCTCAGCAGATTTCCACATCATCCCCTGGTTCCCTCACCTTTCCTGTATAGATTTTATTTCTCTCTTTCCTAGGATAGGCAGCTTTGGAGGTTTCACGTCCCAGCCTGGGAGAGCTCCTGCTCATGTCTCTTCAACTGTCTGTCTGTCCTCATCTTCATTGGCAATAAAGCTGAGCCCTCAGCCACAGGACTGAGCACATCAATCTCCCTGGATCCCACTTTAGTTCCCTTGTAAAGCAGTTTCTTAGATTGTGGAGAGAGAATATTAAAGCTTGTTTCTAGATGTTTCCCTCCCCTCTGCCTCTTCAACTTATAGGTGAGGCTTTTAGCTTTTTCCATCTTAAAGGGAGTAAAATAGAACAGTAACATGAAACAAAACAGAACAGTGATAGGACAATAGAAAACTCACTATTGTTACTATATTGCATGGTCTTATCCTCTAATTAGTTGCTCAGGCTACTGGCCAGGAGCTTGCAATGCCAATCAAACAACTTAAATGTTGAGCTTCTTCCTTTATTCCGTTATTATCATCTCAGCCTGTGTCTCATCTGGTTGCTCACCTGGGGGTAGGGAAAGGTGGGAGGTGGGAATTGGTAGATGGAGGTGGTTTCCTTGCTGCTTCTCTCTAGGCAGCACCCAAGGAGGCTGCATGGCTTCCTTGCTGCTTCTCCCCAGCCAGTAGGGCCTCCTCCAGCACACGGAGAGTGCTTCCTTGTTGTTTCTCCGTGTCTAGCAAGGGTGCCATCCCTGGTTTTCATATTTTAGCTGGATTCCTAAATTGTCTTTCTCCATCTCAGTTCGGATCTTTCCTGTATACAGGGGACCCATGACTCTCCTTCTCTTCCTTTTGATGTTGTATTCCAGGATCTGGACACCAGAGGAGAGGGTCTTTCTCTGCTCGTCACTCCACCATTTTCCTGAGGTTAGCTGGATCTAGCTTATGTGATACTGGGATTAAGAATGTGTGATACTAAATTAGTGCTCTGATTGGAATTAGCATTGATCTGGGTGAGGTGGCACCAATCAATAGGAATATAAAGGAAGAGAAGGAAGGCAGGCTTACTACTGGAGTTGCTGCTGCTGGTGCTGCTGATGCTTGCTGAGCTCCTACCTGCCTTGCTGTGGATTTGTCTTCTGCTGTGCTACCTTACATTGGAGATAGCTGACTATGAAGTGAAACCTCTACAAATTGTGAGCTGAAATAAACTTTCCTCCATTAATGTAACTTTGAGTGCTGAATATTTTGTCCCAGAAAAAAGTAAATTGACTAGGACAGCTGGAATCTAACTTTTAAATTATTCCCAAAGACTAATGGTATTTCAATAAGTATGGCAGGCAGAGTTCTCAGCATTGTGTACAATTAGCTTGCTGAATCCTTGACATGCTATATCCTTGGGATATTCTTATGTGGTAGCTAGTCCCTTTATTTCCTACTTTCAGATGAGGAATGAGGAAACAGGTACAGGGCCAAATTCTCCCAGTCACCTACATACAGATTGGAGTAGAGAGAATTATTCAAATCTAGGCAGGCCAGCTCCCAACCCTGCCCACTGTCTCTGTCACCTTTTATCTTTCTTTCTTTCTTATTTTGGAGATGATGTTTCTATCCAAGTGCTCCTTCATAAAAATCACATGATCTACCACTAATCTAGATCTGAGCCTCCCAAATTTCTTATTCTTAACCATACAGTGTTACTCAGCCTCTCAATAGACGCTAATTGCACACACACAAACACAACAACAACAACAACAACAACAAAACAGGAGATACACAGAAGTTGAGAGAATATTACACATTACCACTACCCCACTATGAGATAATCAGAGTTGAAGTGCATATAATCAAAGTGTTGCAGTGGTATGTTCAATGCGATCTGTAAATATTTTTGGGGAGCTTTTCAATTGCATTGTAATTTCACTTATTCCTCAAAATAACCTTATGGCAGCCACAATTCAATAAATGCTTTTGGACATACAGGTACACACACATATACAAACCTAGGGTAAATTTCAGTATATATGCTCACATACTCACACAAAGGCTATTAAAAAGGCCTGTCCACACTGATGCTTTCAAATCATTTCTCAGTCTGTGAGAAAAGCGTATCAAACAAAACTTTCATTTTCTCTGCAGCCAGCCACATTCCTTGTTTTTCTACTTCTCTTTCTGACCCTGTAGCTTCGCCCAAGCCCTTGTAGTATGCAAATTTCTCTTATGGTAAAGTGAATTTCCCCTCAGAGCCGAACATGTGTGCAATGCTGTCTTGGAGCTCCTTCTTCCCTGCAGGATAGTGATGAGGTGGAAGGAGAGGAATGAAAAATGCAGAGACTTCTGACTTAAGCTCACACATCCATGCTATAGTTTGGATCTGTAATGTCCTCTAAAAGCCCATGTTAATGCCTTTGTCCCTAGTAGCACTACTGGAATTTTGTAGGCCCTTTAAAAAGAAGGGCCAAGTAAGACCTCTTAGATCATTGTGTGTGCCATGAGGCCAACAAGTTGTCTTGACCATGCATTCTCCAACAGGATTTCTAGTCTCCTGTAGGCCAGGATTCAATGGAGACAACCAATACCAGACTGAAACCTCTAAAACTGTCATAACAGTTCTTGTCTCTCCACAAATTGACTTATCTCAAGTGTTTATTATAGAAACAAAACTCTGCCTAACACAATCTGTAATTGTGTGCAGATCCATCTTCATATCAATATGTATATGCTATATAATGTTGATGGAAGCCTCTACACTTTAAGAAATCTACTGAGAAAGAAGTCTACTGGGAAGATGGCAGATTGATAGGTAACAGTGTAGAGAGCCTGTCTGAGAAAAACAACTCAGATGCTAGAATTTTCTTTTTTATTGGTACCAGGGATCGAACTCATGACTGCATGCTTGCAAGGAAGGTCCTTATGCTGCTGAGCTAAATCCCCTGGCCCTCAGATGCTAGAATTTAACATCATAGAGAAGACCAGCTGAAAGGAGAGGGAGACTCATGACCCAGGAAGAAACTGAGGTTAAAAAAAAGAAAGAAAGGAAAAATGTGGATGAAAGGCTGGAACCAGAAATGCTCTCACTAGAGCTGGTCCTGTGCTGTGTTGGGCACACCTTGGAGTCAGAAGACTCACTGTCCTTCTGGACAGTGGAGAGCAGTGTTAACTTGTGGTGAGTGCTAGGAATTGGGTCCCACAGAGGGGGTGACTAGCTTGATGACATATTGGAGTTCGCCAGGATGGACCTGAACCTGGAACCACACTGGCATCAGTCAACAGCTCCTGGCTCAAAGAGGACTGGTGGAATCTGCTTGGGCTGGGCCACACCCCTGGTTGGGACCAAACAGCCAGGGACACAACTGTCCTAAAACTATGATGTCCACATGGCACAGACTAACATGGTGAAGGTACTTGCTAGTTGACTGGCTCAGAGGAGAGGGGCCAGCCCACATCATCCCTGCATGTACCTCACAGATTAACAGTAAACTGGAGAGGGCAGCAAGCTCCTAGCCAGCATGCTTCAGAAAAACCATAAGCAATACAGAAAGGGCCTGAGACCTTTACCATATACCTATCTGAAAGAAACCAGAAACATGACAAGAGAAAGAAACAAGAAAAAGCCTCCAGCCACTGACCCAGGGAAAATAAGTCCAGGAGAGGTAAATACATAAGAGATCAGGGGCAGCAGCCATGCAATATTGGGCACAGCATCAGTGGACATAAAGAAATATCTTCATGACCTTACAGATGAACTTAAAACTGAAATTCTAATTCAAGTGAAGCAAGATATAAAAACATCAATAAAAGAAATGCTAAGCATTCCTCAAGAAGACACAGATGGAAGAATGGAAGAATCCAGAAAAAAGAGAGAAACCTTTGATGAAGAACATAAACAAAATCTAGAATACATGAAACAGATCCAAAGAGATTACCAGGAAACTAAAAACTCCATTGAAAGCTGACAAAATTCCTTGACAGAAACTAGTTAGACTTTCAAAATTCAAAGAAAGATTTGCAATGTGTGATCATGAAGGGAAAGATCTCTTAAAAATAATAAGAAACCAGGAAGTAACAGTATAAAGGCTAGAAGATGACAAGAGAATCTATAACTTAAGAATAAAATATGTGAGCGAAGAAGCAAGAGTAAACACAAATGAAACACAAAGGCTATTCACAGAAATAATTAAGGAAAAATTCCCAAGCATAGGAAAAGAAAATGATATTCAGATGTATGAGACATACAGAACTCCAGCCAGCTACAAGCAAAACAGATCTACACCCAGTCATATAATAAAGATCCCAAAAATTGTTCTCAAGAACAGATATTAAAAACAGAGAAAAGAAACAGATCACCTATAAAGGAAAACCCATCAAAATCATAACAGACTTCTCGACACCAACTATCAAATCAAGAAGAGCTTGGAGCAAAGTATTCCAAACCCTAAAAGAAAATAACCTCCAACACAGATTGATGTACCCCACAAAACTCTCTCAAAGTTAATGGAGAAACAAGATGTTTCCATAACAAAGAGGAACTGTGGGAGTTTGTGACCACAAATCTAACCCTACAAAAATACTGAAGGACAGTCTAGAGAGAGGAAAAAAACATCAGGATTACAGCAAAAGTGTCAGAGAAGCCTCAATAAATGAGGCAGATGTGGAATGAAAGAGAAAAGTAGACAACTAAAAGTAGAAACATAGCATATTAGAGATGAGGCAGAGAAGACTAGCTATAATCTCTAACACAGATGGGCTTGATATACTTCAAGGTCTGAAATTTTATTCACTTTTGTTGCAGTGGTTTTCCCAGCTTTTGAAGGAATTTTTAATTTCCTGTATATCTCTTTGAGTCTGCTTTATGCCTTGTGTTTGTTTCTTATCTTTTTCATTCAGGGTTTCCATCATTTTGCATTGTTCCTCTAATTTTTAAACTATGCCTTGTTTAGATGTGTTCTGTATTTCTTTCATTACATTTACCATTTCTTCTTTTATCTGGGAGATTATTTCTGATCTGAATTGTTTTATAGCTTCCTGGAGTTGATTCTTTGCTTCAGTTGTTATCATTTCAGGCATTTTAGGTATAAGGCTTACATTTCTACTATGTCCATGTCTCCTAGGCTTGCTAGGTTTGGGCTGGAAGTTTTGAGATTGCATTTTTCTCTTTTGTTTTGTCATTTTCCTATATTTCTGGGTTTCAAGTAATGTTCCAAATGTTCCCCTGTGTGTTGGGAATCACTTGGAACACTTTTGGCTCCCAGGACTGAATGGAGGACCTCTTGTTTGCTCTCCAGTTATTTGGGATGCTTGATGTGGTTTTACAAGCTGAGAGCCATATTCCAAACCTTCCTTCATACTCTGGGAATCAGCTCATGCAACTTTGGCTCCTGGGACTGGATTCAGGTCCCTACTAGATGCTTGAAGGTCTTTGGGCATGACCCAGTTAAGCCTGAAGGACTTCCTGTGCATCCTAAAGTGATTTGGGATGCTTGCTGTGGTCTTACCTGATTGTAGTTATGTTCCAAATCCCCCCCCCCCGCCCACCATGCACTGGGAATCAACTCTCGCACCTCCAGCTCCCAGGACTAGATTCAGGACCCTGTTAGCCATTTGGAGGTACTGGGACTGATTTTAAAAACCATTCTCCAAGAAACTTTGCACAATTTATTATGGTTTTTTTTTTTTTTTGGCTTTCTGAGACTAGGTCTCCCTGAAGTTCAGGCTGGACTTGTGCTCACATTGTAGCCCAGGTTAGTCTCAAATTCACAATGATCCTCCCTCCTCAGCCTCCTGAGTGCTGGGATTACAGGCGTATACCACTATGCCAGACTATAATTTATCTTAGTAAAGACAACAGAAGAGAAGCAAATCAGTGGAAACCACAAATTGTCCTGTCAAGCAAAACCAAAATATTTTAATTGAAGCACATTTCCTTCAAGAAGCATCTGTTCAATCTTCACATTTTATATTCCATTCTTTGTTTTATGGAGTCTGATTTTTCCAAATTGCTTATGTATTATAGGTATTAATGCTCTATCAGAATTGAGGATTTTCAAACAATTTATCCCATTTGCTTGTTCATTCTGGTAGTTATTTCTTTGCCAAGCACAATCTTTTAATTTGGTATAATGCCATTTAAAATTTTTTTTGATATTATTTTCTGTGCTTTGGAAATAGGAAGTCTTTGCCCTTAACTATGGATTACAGTATTTCCTTTGTATTTCTTCTACCCAGTGTTGTTGTTTTTAGCTTTATAGTCTCACTTTGCTCCATACTGATTGATTTTAGTGCAGGATGAGATACGTGAATATTATTACTATTTTTTGCTTGTAATTCTCCAGTTTTTATAGAACTGCTTCTTAAAGAGACTGTACTTTCTCCAGTATATATTTGGTTTCTGTGTAAAAATCACATGGTTCTGTGTGTTTGCATTTGTTCCTCTGGGTTATATTAGCCATTCTACATCTTTTTTGATTCTGAATAAAATTTAGTATTGCTTTTTCTACATTCTTGAATATTCTTGTGTTTTAGCATATATGTGTTATTCAGTGGCACTAAAATGGAATTTTGAATGTTCTGACCCATGGGATCAGATAATTTTGTCATTTTAAGGAAATATATTTTCAGTAACTTTTCACAGTAGCATGCTTGACAAAATCAGTATAATGTGATTTAACTGTCAGTATAATGTGAGCAAAGGTCCTAGAGGCTTAAAGCAATGTATCACTTCTTACTAAGTTACATGTTATTGTGCATTGGGAGTTCTGGGTACCACTATCTCAAGATGACAGAACAAACCCCATCATGAGCATATTTGTGAAAAAAGGAAATTGATACATAGATTCCCTCAGTTGAATGCATGCCCATTGATGACACCCCCAGCTCTCCTCAGAACTCAGTAGTCTAAAGAAATCTCATGAAGCTACTCTATTCCATGACTAGTGCACTATGTGAACAGAATGTGAAGAGTAACAAATATTTGGTATAGCATGAAATTATCATAAGACTTTCAAGGAAGCTGGTGGCACTCAAATTCACACTATTATATTTTTCAACCCCTGTGGGCCTCAGTTTCTCCATAAAAGAAAGTTCATGTGAGAGTTAAATGTGATAACAAATGCAATGAGCTGAGCTCCAGTATGCACTCATAGCATGCACTCATTCACTACAATTCTGTACTGATTAATTTTCAAAAACACACAGGAACTCTCAGAATTAGTGATACTGCTCTGTGTTTCCCTCCCAACAGCCACAGAGGATATTCTGAAGATGATTCAGCCTGAGAAGCTAGTGTTGGTCACCTCAGGAGAGACTGCCACTCTGCACTGTACTGTGACTACCCTGTTGCCTGTGGGACCCATCCTGTGGTTTAGGGGTCAAGGACAAGACAGAGAGTTAATCTACAATTTCAAAGGAGGCCACTTTGCCCGAGTCACAGATGTGTCAGACACCACAAAGAGAGACAACAAGGACTTTTCAATCCACATCAGTAATGTTACCCCTGCAGATGCAGGCACCTACTACTGTGTCAAGTTCCAGAAAACAGACTCTGAGGACAAGGAGATTCAGTGTGGAAGAGGCACCAAGATGTTTGTCGGCGGTGAGTACAGTTTGGGCATCCCTAGTTTCTCCATGTATGACAGTAGGTCAGGAATTGCACCTTGCATTCTGTGACACCAGCGAAGAAGTAGGTAGGATGGTGGATGCTCATGTTCATGATTTAATGTCACCCATTTATCAGTGCAGCCAAGGCCTGCAGTCTGTAATTGGCTCAAGTCTCCACACCAAGTAAATAGGGAGCATCTGCAGCTGATGTCTGACTACTGCACAACCTTCTATTTTTCCACTCTATCCCTACCTTTGTTTCCACGTAGGAGGGCCATGCAAGTTTGAGTGAACAGCCCAGACCAGGGCTAGATCTCACCTACTTCACCAACATTGAGCTTCCTTTCTGAGTGTGAGCCTTTTCTTATGTCACAGAACTGAATGTCTACTGTGTCCCAGGATCCTTTTTGCAAGCTAGGGAAACAGAATGGAGCCTTCTAGACTGAGCTCATCTCCTACCAAGTTGGCATTTCTCTGAGGGGGGAGGGAAGGTGCACTTATATTCATTTCCTCTAAAGAAAAGTATTGAGGGAGTGCCAGTGCTGGCCTGGGGAGAGTTTAATACCATTGCTCCCAGTGGTTAAGTTCCTGCCCTGCTTTCTGAAACACTGGACTAGGCTTGGGAGGTTTAGCGGGACTGACTAGACCACACTCAGCAAACTTCATTTGATCTGGGGCGCTGAGGGCACATGATGTGAGTTCCATGCATAGGCAATAGCTCAGGAAGAGCTTTGGACCATAATCGCCAGCAGCTAGAAGCCTACCCAGCTCCCTGGAACACCGGAGGTGGCATAGGAGGTCCTGTGGGTCTGACTGGGTCATGCTCAGCAACTTCCATTCAGTCCCAGGAGCCAAAGGTGCAGGAGGGGATTTCCAACGTGCCCAGGGGAAGCTTTGGAACATGGCTTGAAACACAGAAATATAGGAAAATGACAAGATGAAAGACCAAAATGCAATCTCAAACCTACAGCCCATTGCAAGAGCTAAGGAGCCATGTACATAGAAGAAAACATAACCCATACACTTGAAGTGCCTGAAATGATATTAACTGAAATAAAGAAGCAACTCTAGGAAGCTGTAAAGGATCTCAAATCAGAAATAATCTCCCAGATAAAAGAAGAAATGATAGAAGAAATGCTGAACAGAGCTAAAGAAGACACAGTTAAAAAATTAGAGGAACAATGCAAAAAGATAGAATCCCTGAATGCATAGTATAAGAAACAAACAGAATGCATGAAGAAGATTCAAAGAGATATACAGGAAATCAAAAATTCCATTGAAAGGTGCCAAAACTGCCTCAACGAAAGTGAAGATAGAAATTCAGACCTCAAAGACAAGATTGCAGCTAGTGAACGGAAAGGAAAGATCTTTTAAAAATAACAAGGAATCAGGAAATAATTCAACAGCTGGAAGATGATGCAAAGGAAAAACATCATAAGAATAATAGAGATAAATGAAAAAGACAGGGACAACACAAATGATATCAAGAGGCTATCTATAGAAGAAAATTTCCCAAGCATGTAAATGGAAACTGACATTAGTGAAACATAAGGAACTCCAAATAACCATAAACAAAATAAAACTATACCTAGACATATAATAATCACCCTCCCATAAATCCAACATATGAACACAATATTAAAAGCTGTTACAGAAAAAAGACAGATCACCTATAAAGGAAAACATATCAGAACATATACAGCAGACTTCTCAACACAAACAATGAAGTCAAGAGGAGCATGGAGTGAGGCATTTCAGATCCTAAAGGAAAAGGACTTCCAACCCAGATGAATGTATCCTGAAAAACAATCCTTCGAAATGGATGGAGAAATGAGATACTTCTATGACGAAGAGCAGCTGAAGAACTTCATGACCACCAAATCAAACCTGAAAAGAATACTGAAAGACATTCTAGATACACATAAGAAAAAACCAGTAATCAAGGCAGACAATTAAACAGAATGGAAAGGTAAAGATACAACAGCAAAAAAATAACATTTCAACAATAAACCAATATGTAACACTTATAACTATTAATGTACATGTCCTCAATTCACCAATTAAAAGAAACAGACTATCAGAATGGGTCAAGAAACAACATCCAATCATATGCTGTATAAGAAACCCATCTAACCTAAAAAGAAACTCATAGACTGAGAGTCAAAGGATGGAAAACAATACTTCAAGCAACAGGAACCCCCAAAAAGTGGGGGTAGCTATTCTGATTGCAGAAAATGTGAACTTCACATCACAAATGATCCAAAGAGATAAAGAAGATCACTACATAGTATTTAGGGGAAAACTTCAAAAGCAAGACATAACAATCTTATATATGCACCAAAATTTGGAAGCACTCAGATATACAAAGCAAATATTAACAAACATGAAAAATCAAATAAGCAATAACAGAATTATAAAAGGACACCTTAACATGGCATTGACATAAAGGGACAGAACAATCAGACAGAAAATCAGCAAAGAAATAGCAGAACTGAATCACACCTGTGAATAAATGGACTTGATAGATGTATACAGAGTGTTCCATACAACAACATCATAATATACAATCTTCTCAGCATTACATGGGACATTCTCTAAAATAGACCACATATTAGCCCACAGAACATATTTAAGTAAATGCAAAAGAATTGAAATTATTTTATCCATGTTTTGGATCATAGCATCATGAAGTTAGAAATTTATGATAAAAGAAACTGCAAAAACCCCACAAACACATGGAAATTGAAAAATACACTCCTGAGTAATCAGTGGGTCACAGAGGAAATTAAAGAAGAAAATTAAACAATATCTACAAGCAAATGAAAATACAAATACAACTTACCAGAATCTGTGGAATGCAATGAAAGTGGTCATCAGAGGAAAATTTATTGCACTGAATTGCCACATAAGGAAAACAGAATTAACACAAATTAACAACCTGAAGATACACCTCAAACATCTAGAAAAAGAAGAGCAAGTCAAGCACAAAGCCAAAAGTAGGCAGGAAATTATAAAGATCAGAGCAGTAATTAATGCAAAAGAGACTAAGAAAACAGTACAAGGAATCAATGAATCAAAGAGTTGGTTCTTTGAAAGATTAAATAAAATTGATAAGCCCATAGCCAACTTTATTTAAAAAAGGAAAAAAAAGCTCAAATTCATGCAATAAGGAATGAAACAGCTGAGTTTACTACAGACTCTGTGGAAATACAGAAGATCATCAACACCTATTTCAAAAATCTCTACTCTCATCAGTTCAATAACACTGAAGAAATGGACAGATTCCTAGAAACATATGAAGTACCAAAGCTGGATCAAGAAGATGTAAAACTTCTGAATAACTCAATTTTTATTAATGAAACTGAAAATGTAATTAGGTCCTTACTAACAAAGAAGAGCCCACGATCAGATGGATTCACTACAGAATTCTACAAGAAATACATAGAAGACTTAATGCCAACACTCCTAAAATGTTTCAATGAAATTGAAATGGAAGAAATTCTTTCTAAGTCATTCCTGGAAGCAAATATTACTTTAGCACCAAAACCTGAGAAAGACCTAATTAAGAAAGAGAACTACAGGGCAATCTTCTTGATGAACATAGATGCAAAAATTCTCAATAAAATATTGACAAACAGGATGCAGCAAATCATCAAGAAGATTCTACACCACGACCAAGTGGGATTCATTCCAGGCATGCAGGGATGATTCAACATACATAAATCAATGAATGCAATCCACCATATCAATAAAGCCAAAAGTAAGAATCACATGATCATTTCTATAGATGCAGAAAAATCTTTTGGTAAGGTCCAGCATTCATTCATGATAAGAACCTTACAGAAAATTGGAATAGATGGTCTTTACCTCAGTATGATAAAGGCCATCTATGACAAACCAACAGCCAGCATCATGTTAAAAGGCCAAACACTGAAAGCCTTTACCTTAAAATCAGGTGTAAGACAAGGATGTCCCTTATCACTGCTCCTATTCAACATAGTACTGGAAATACTAGCCAGAGCAATTAGACGAGAGAGAGAGAAAAATAAAAGAAGTAAATATAGGGAAAGAAGAAGTTAAATTATCATTATTTGCAGATGATGTGATACTCTACATAGAAGACCCAAAACTACATGGAAACACTCCTAGGTATAATAAGTAAAATTCAGTAATGTAGCTGGATACAAAGTCAGTACTCAAAAATCAATAGCATACCTATACACTGACAACAAAATAACTGAGAGGGAAATAAGAGAAACCACACCTTTCACACTAGCATCCAAAAAAGTGAAATACTTAAGAATTAATCTAAGGTAAGAAAAAAAATGGCGGCTTGCTAGGGGATCGAGTGAAGAGTCTCTCTGGAGAAATTATACTAGAAGCTAGAATATGACAACATGGAGAGGGCCAGACAAATCCATAGTGATTCTTATTAACCAAGACAGTGCAGCTGGAGGATTTAAAGTCGTGCTGAGACCGTGAACACTGATAATGGGAGGCTGCAAATCCCACGCCTTTAAATCAACAAACTGACCCGTGGACCCAGCAGGAAAAGCTGTGTTGCTTTTGGTGACTGCGGGAAACTGAGACCCAGGACTCTGAGTAGCAGCGAGGACTGCACCGCTGCACCAGAAGAGATGTACAAGGCTCTGGAGTTTCAAATCTAAACGGTGCGCAGATATCTGACCGTTCCATGCTGTGCCGGGAGTGCGGGAAAGGTGGGCAGCTTGGTGTGCAGTGGTCCCGGAATGAGGACCTGCGCCGGACTCTGGTGAGTGCTGGGAACCCCGCGGCTGCTGGGGTTGGCCAGAGAACAGCTGGCCCGCCACCACGGGGAAATCAATAACACAGAATCTGGCAGCAGACATTTTAGTCTGGCGGCAGAACCTACAGCTCGGTGACATCACCAGGTCCCCCTGTAGGGAGGGCTGGTGAAAGACATCTTGAAATCTGGCAGAGCCTGATTACGTGCTGGCTTCAGCTCCACACAGAGAA